ACCTCATTCTGATCATCAATCGGCATAAACCACCCTTTTCATTCAGATTAAAAATTCATTCAGATCGAGCTCAATCAGATCAGAACAATTGGAACAGCTGTTTACATGACGCATTTTTATTCTGAACGGCTGTTTAATCCGATTACTTTTGTCCATGTAAATTTAGCTAATACAGACAACAAATATTACATTTATAGTATTACAACTAAAACCGTTTTTGATGCCGCCACCGCAGTTTGTCCTTCATGAGCCTTCGTAGACAAGATGGTGGCTGCCTGTAGTGATGACCCGCAACCATGGAGATATAAACAGCTTTTTATCAGGTAAAAATAATAAAACAAGGTCTTTGTCTGCAATGATTAGACATGTTTTTTGTTATTGTCATTAGTGATTATCTCAATTTYGGCTAAAAGAATTGACAAAATCCTACACACTGTGCCTTTAAACATATAAAAGTTTTGTATAGACATATTGGGGAAAATGCTAAAAATGCTAACAGAATGTAATTTTGTGTTTTCTTTGGATCAGACATTAAGACGGAAGCTGTGGACGAYATTTTTGAGGCAATGTATGGAAATGGTAAGGTTCTTGTATGTGTACAATATAATATTTGTTATTTTATAACCTTACATGTGGGGATAATGACAAATAATTAGAGTGGTGGCTCAACTCTAACCACATTCAATCTTGTGACAGCATTAAGGCTCACAACCTAAATTAGAACAGCTTTGATAGGGTATTTTTTGTAGTAAAGGTGTAAAGTGATGAGTGAGRAGGTGACCAGATAGAACAATGGTCACATTTACTTTGATTGCTGCCCCCTGAACCATAGCCACGTTCCTGTTTGAAATATGTTTGCAATATTCAGATAGCAAAGGACGATGTGGGATTCAATAATTGTTGGCTAATATTTTCCAAATGTTGTGTTTTTCATGATAATATAATATTTGGCCAGTTAAGAGTCTCAGTAGAGTGAAGAAATGTGCTCAGTTTGTGCTCCAGCAGTCTAAGTCTATAGCAGCAGAAATGAAGAATAATTCAGGAAACCTAAGTCTAACTATAGGATTTATCAAAAAGGAAAGTCTTCAGTCTAATCTTAAAAGTAGTATATTTCATTTCATCCTTTTTGCAAATTTTAAAAAATTCACTCAAAATTCGAATTAAAATTGGATGGAAACATGGCTGGAGCTATAACGAAGTGAATTCCAATGGGGGTTTTCTATGTGTGCAGAAAGAGGCAACATTGCCAATGATGATCGTTCGCACAAAACTGCAATAAATTACAACAATAGTTCAATATTAAGACATTATTAAAGTAATACTGTATATCAAAACACAATGATATTAGTATTGTAAACACTGAACTACTGAGATTAAAAATATGATTAAACTATGGTTGTCATGATTCTTGTTTTTTATGGTTTTTATTGGTAGTTTTCACTGTTTTTTCTTTGTTTGGGATTGTCTTATTTTCTCATTTCCTGTTCAGTTTCCTGTGCCATGTTACCCTCAGTCAGCTTCTTAGGCCCTTTCCCAACCAGTGGCTACACACTCGCCCTACTCCCTACTCACTCAGTYTGYGCRTTCCYGCGGAGGGTYGGCCATATTAASTCCCATCTRAAACCAGTTAGRTACGAGGGTGAGTGGCTTATTAAGCCCTCCACAGMGAGTCTGCATCCAGTGCAGACTTGATCAGCAGGTGCAGCACCAAATAGTGTTCGGCATGGAGCACGGGACGTATAAATATAAGTTCCACATATGTTTTTGTACACATATTTACTAAGTAAACACCTCACCAACAAATTTAATTTCACATAGGCTATAAATCATGTTCAATTCAAACTTTATTAAAGACACTGAACCCTGGTCCATATTTAAAAAAGAAGAAAGGAAACATTAAAAAAATTAAGAATAAATAAATAATTTTAAAAATATGTTAAAAGTGCAATTATTTATCACACTGTGTTTGTTACAAATACAGTCATGTCTGAAAACTCTCTAAAATGTGGGCCTAATAAAATATTTTCTTTGGTCTATTAAAAAAAACATTTGTTCTCCTGCATTCAGTCGCTGCCAGAGGTTGGACTGTATTTAGTCTGTAAATAATAATCATACCCTGCTACTGCAAACTGTTGTTTATAAATGCAGTAAAACAAAACCAAAATGATTTTCTAATAAATGAAATTACACTTACTGCACACTTTATGCCTAGGAGTGTGAGTAAATATGTTGATTTTTT